ACGCTACGGGACAGGTATTTCAGCAGTAGTTTGAAAGATTATCAGCTCCTCTATTCTGACCCATCTCTGTCCTTCCAGAGAGGTTTTATTAAGAAGTCTGAAAGATTCCCAGAACCTATAGTATTATCTTCATGATTTCACTGCCATGTTTTAAAACAATGAAATAAGTCCAAAACCTTCAATGTTCCAGAAGCTCATCTGTAGAATTTCATTAGTAACAACTGAAAAGCATTATTTTGAACAAAATCAGATGACTTTACATCTGCAAAATTTAAATTCACAATATATATATTTTATATCATTTTCAACACAGTAATTATTTTATAATACGGTTTGGCCTAGATCAGTAGTGTCAAACTCACATCATCACAGAAGCATCACGGGACGTATTAGGACCTTTCCCCCCTTCACTAAATTAGGCGGGGGTGGGCCAGCACGTGGTGCATCCGGCCTGTAAGCCGCAAGTTTGACACCCGTGGCCTAGAGAGAGATATAGGTTTTTAACAGGTACTTAAAAGATATAATAATTGGCACATTAGTTCACCAATTTCAGGGGGAAGCACATATTAAACCTAATGTGCCACCCGAAAAAGCTTACCTATTAGTAAGCAAAAGATATTTTGCATTTAAAGTACACACAATACGTTTTCCCACTAACAAGCTCAATGATCAATCCATACTGCAAAGCAAACCATTAAGCATCTGTTGTTCAGATACATTATTAGGAAAACCTTGAACCTGCCATGGTATAAGGATTATATTGCATTTTACATTTTCTGTAAAGCACCTCTATTACAACAGTTATATAAAACCTCTTCATTACAGAGGTTCTATTTCTAGAAAACGTGTTCATTAAGAGATTAGCAGGTTACTTCACTATAAATTCTGGAAACCAATCTGTTCTCTCTGGCCCTTCGTTAAATGATTTTAGTATTTTTTTTAAAAAAAAATTTGTTGTATCATCTTTTACTAGCGATTACTAGATTATTTATTAAACAAACATATATGGTCTCTCAATTCATACACTGTGACTCCAGGTGGCTTACATTATTAAAAATCCACAGTATAAAATACCTAAATGCCTCTCCCCAACAAAGGCACTCAACTTGAGAGAAACTCAAAATTTATTATCGTGTTCATTTTCAAGTTCTTTCTTTAAACAGATTTGCAGTTAAAAGGACTATCAATTAAAATTAATTGATACACTTATTTTTAAAATGCCAAATTTGCTCAGTCATGTGTTTCTCTACAGAATTATAAATTATCATATAACACTTAAAATCATTTCTTTCTGGAAATGCCTGCCTGTGCACAGCATTCAGTATGCACTAACTACCTACTCATGCCAACTGAAGTGCAACAGATGCTCAGTAGGAGTAAGGCATTTTTTTGTAGCGATAGCAATATTAAACATGTCCTTCCTATAAACTATGGAATTAAAAAGTTTCTGGAATTACTGATTTATTTTTCTGTTGATGAAATCAGAGTTATTTTTCTACCAATCACAATACTATTTTACCTATCTGATAGTATTAGAACTATATTTTCCTATTACAGATTTTCTATTACAGATCATCTGGTGTTTGTCAATCCTTATCCCAGTTTTGTAGTTTAATAATTATGGTGAAGAAATAATACATTCCTAGTTAATTGATAAGTGGTATTTAAAAAGTTATATTAAAACATTTTAAAGTAATGCTGCAATTTTTAGTTTATGTATATCTAAAAAACTGTTCTGGATCATATCATAGGATTATAATAAATTCTTTCCAGTGACTTAAAATTGAACATTAAATTAAGTCCTATTAAGTTCTATTTATTACTTGAAATAAATAAGACAATAAATAACACTAAGTGATTCTGCATGTCCTCAAACACTATTTTCCATTTCATTCTCTATCTAATAATTAATTAATTCTCTTTCCTTTTCAATTGTAAATATAAAATAATAAACTTAGACAATAGTAATTTTTACAATAAAAAACAACACTTGCAACCTGTAATCTATTAAGGGTCCATGCACCATATTGCACGTGCTATACACAGGAACAGAAAGCTCCTTTGTTCTCCACTATTCTGCAGTGCCATCCTGCAGATAACCTCCAAGTGAACAATCAACTTCAAGCTTCTGAATTCAACCTGTTGACACAAGCAAAGTTGCTACAGATTGCCCATGAACCTTCAAGAGGCTACGGGTAATCCTGGACTTACAACAGTTCATATTTAGTGACCATTCAAAGTTATGTTATTGAAAAATGTGACTTATGGCCATTTTTCACATGTATGATCATTGCAGCATCCCCATGGTCATGTGATCAAAATTCAGATGCTTGGAAAGTGACTCAAAAAATTTGGGCTCAATTGTGGTCATAAATTGAGGACTATCCATACTGTTCTTTCTGCTCCATTTCTCAACACAACATATATTTACTTCTGCAAATGGTATAATAGATGAATGAAATGCTATAGGGCCTTTACACAGAACTTTCAGGAAGAAAGTTCCCTCTACTATATGATAAAGTCATTATATGGTCAATGCCAAGGTGCTCTTTTTTTTCATATCCCAAAGTACAATGTGGATATAACAATACTTGATCTATTTTATAAAGTTATTTTATAGAGCAGGGGTGTCAAATTAGTGGCCTGCAGGCCGGATGCATCAGGTGTAGGCTATACCCACCCCAGTTCCATGAATGGGAAAAATGTCACAAAATGTTACATGATGACAACATGACGCAGCGAGTTTGATACCCATGTTAGAGATTAATAAGACACAGTGCTTTACAAACAATAACACACATTGAATTATATTATATACACACCACAGAATACTTTTTAATTTATAATTAAATAGTATCATTTTTCCAAACACATTCTTCTAAGAAATAGGTTTTTTTTAGTGAAATATTGTATGGCGCAACTGCAACATGTTGAATTCCAGTACTAATCAAATATATGAATGTATTCCTTTCAACAATCATAAAGAAAATTGGTCAAGATCATGTTCCTTTCAAATGTTTCTATTGGGAATTTCTGACCAGTCTTTTTTGACCTATTAAATCCAGAAATGTTATTTCTTGCCATCTCATGTAATATGCGCAAATGACCATGGAAGCAGGAGAGCTGTGCTAAATTTCAGATATTGTACCATATACATCTGTTTATATCAGCTTCCATTGCTATATAAGTAGTCCTCAGCTTATAACCACAATTGAGCTCAAACTTTATGCTGTTAAGTGAGACAGCTGTTAACTTTTACCTGATTTTATGAGTTTTCTTGCAGTTAAGTTAGTAACACGGTTGTTAAGTGAATCTGGCTTCCCCATTGATTCTGCTTGTCAGAAAGTTGCAAAAAGTGATCACATGAACCTGGGACACTGCAACTGTCATGAGTCATCTAAAGCATCTGAATTTTGATCACATGAGCATGGGGATGCTGCAATGGTAGTTAAGTGTGAAAAACGGTCATAAGTCACTTTTTTCAGTGTCGTAACTCCGTAAGTTACTAAACAAACTGTTGTAAGTCAAGGACAACCTATATTTCATTCTGCAGACTTTTATCTTTTATCTAAGAAAAACTCTTATTAGTTTACTAAACTCATCAACTTTCTTAACTATAAATTCAAAAATAGCTCTACTTGAAGAGAATTTATTTAGAAAGTTCTGGAAACAAAGATATAGTTTCTTTTTTCCTGTTATTCTTAAACTAAAAACCTTATTCTTACTCCATCGAAAAGTGTTTTGTTGGTGGCTATTGCTGATTTGTAACAGCTATAAGCAAGCACAACTGTACTATAAAATATTGTGCATCTGATGGAAACAATTCCTTTGATGTTTTACATAATTTTAAAAGAAGTATTCCTATTCCTCATTCAAGCAGTCTTCACCATCTTTCAATCTACCTGTGGCATGTGTGTAACCAGTAACATTTAACAATTACAGTAACAAATTAAAATGTTTTCCTCTTCAGCAGTTTTTTCTATGAATCACCCTTTCAGACTAGAACCAATTATGCAAACATATTTGGTGGAAAGTCCAGCTGAAACATATGGCTTACTGCAATCATAAATAATCATACCACATATAAAGAATCCAACCGCCTATTTCTTATTGGTGCTAAAGAGTATAATTAAATGTTAAAGAATATAAAGAAAATAATATAATTCCCTGATCAATGCACCTCCTCCCTTATTTCTTCTGGGCAGACGTGTGACATTTCTGAAGAAGGGTGTACACTTATAAAGAAGTCCTGCTTAAATAATGTAATGTAATTAATGTAATGTAAAGCCATTACAGCATTTTAGCATTAACCCAGTTATCTCACTGTACTATAGAGGAGATCAATATCGTCTACAGTGCATGCATTCCCGCGATGAAAAAAAAGGGGGGTGGGCAAACGAAATATATACACGGTCTTTTTACACAGAGCGTCGTTTTTAGGCCAAAAAGTACTTGCACCTCCCACGAACGATTCACAAAGGGGAGAGAGCGCCAAAGGACTGTTGTGAGTCACTTCTCGCCTAGTAACAGCCGCGTGTTCTCGTACTATTAGCCGCTCGGGAACTCCGTCCGTCACGCTCTCTCAGTAACCGCAGGTGTGCATCTGCAAGAGCCCAGACGGGGAAATGGGAGCCACTAGTGAGCTCGGGCCGCAGGGGAACCGGGGGACCATTCCCAGCCTCGCTTCCCGTTCGGGCCGACTAATTCTTCGGGAGCAGCCACCCTCCCAAGCCCCGCCCCTCTCCCCATCCTCAGTCGAGTACCACCCAGCGTCTCCGCCCCCCCATTTCTCCCCCTTCAGAGCCCTCCAATTCGTCACACCTCTCCTCTCTCCCTCCCTCCCCTTCATGTCGGGCGTCCCGTTCCTGCCCGAAACCAGCGCTGCCCGCCTCTTCTCCGCCCCCACCCCCACCTCGGTTTGGCAGCACCCCGGCCGTTTCTTTCCTCCGGCTCTCCTCTTTTTCCAACCTAGCCCTCCTACAAGCGCGCGGCTCACCGACCTCCTCTTCGCTCTCGTTGCGGAAGCAGAGGCAAGCCGCCCGTTTCTTGTACCCGTCCCCGTCGTAGGTTCGAGTCTGGTTGGACTTGAGCTTCATCATCTCCGGTCGGGGAAAGGGTGGGGAGGCCCACTAGGGAGGCAGCAGCGAGATGATCCGAGAAAAGGGTGTCGGCTCCGCACGCGGGTTAGGTTGGAGGGTCTCCCTGCCTGAAGGGGGCGGAGGACCCGCTATCCCAGAGAGTCTCTGCCTCCTCACACAACAGCCGAAAAGGAGGGGAAGCCCCCTCTGCACCGCTACTTGCTACAAATACTGTCGCCGTCCACCCGCCGCCTTGTTCCCGCTCTCTGCTGCTCCAGGGCTAGGACCGCAGCTTCTGCCAGCGTTTCGGCCACCGCCGCCAACGACGACGACCGCGGCGCCATCTTGGGGCATACTACGTCAACGGCGCAGAGGCAGCGGGTGGAGAAAAGCGCTGCCCGGGATTTCTTCTTCGGCGCATACTACGCAAGCAGCGTAACCGAAGATTGGGAATCACTCGCCCCTTTCCGCTTCGGACACCCGTTGCAGAGAGCGTCTCCCAACGCGAGGCTTGAGCCCAGCCGCACTACTGTAAGTCAAAGAGTGTCGAGAACACGGGGAGGGGTACCGTATGTGCTCCGCTGCCGTCGCACTCTTACGCTATCACCGTATACGAAAGCCACAGTACTGTAAGCGAGACGTCTGGCGTAGCGTTTTGCTCACGGCCTCGGGCTTAATCGCCGGGCTGCGCAAATCGCGTACAGTGAGAGGAAACAATGCCCATCTTGTGGGAGCAGCGGCACGCCAAAAGCGTAGAAAGAAAGAAGTCTTGTTGCAAGCTTCGATAAAGAGAAGGGAGGGGTAAGACGGCTTCAGATGGACAGAATAAAGGGTGTCTCCTCTAGGATGACAAGGAAAAAACGGGAATGGCGCATTTGCAGTTACTCTCAAAGAAATGTGTACTTCGTATTTCGGCCAATGACTTAATCTGTTAGCTTTCGTGGGAAATCATATTTTCCGAGCATTAAAGCTGTGAAATTTTGTCACTCATTATGTACAATGCCCCACCATGTTCGTCTTTCATATCTTTTACCTTAAGGATATTCTGAAGCAAGTGGACCGATCATGATGAATATCATTGATAGGGCGGCATGTCTGCATAAGGGGAATTAGTTCCTTTATTTAAAAAGTTGCCTCGACTGGCCCCACCCCCACCCCACAAAAACATATGGCCTTTCTCCTTCCTTGACATAAGCTGCTTTTCTTTCTCAGGTGACAGGAATAAGAGAAAGAAAACTTCCTTCAGAGTTGACAGGAATGCGCTCTAAACACAAGATGTCTGCCAAAAGGGAAAAAAAAGCCTGTTTCCTCAGCAACAAAGTTAACCTCTGCCCTGTAAAGTTGACTGCAAGGCAACTTGCCTCCTGACTAGCACTATGAATAACATGTATAGCTGTTGTTTTATTAACCTGTAATCTGTGATAGTTTACTGTATCAAAATTTAATGAGAACTAGTATTTTACTTAGTGAGAAAGAAGCCTTATCTGACCAAGACAACTAGACCTTGAAAATGTTTGGCTTCTCATCCGAGAAGCTTCTTCAGTTCTGATTGGTCTGATTTGTCACTAAACCAATCCCATATACACAATATAACAGTTTGTAACCTCGCTCTTTTCATAGAGTCTCCAAGGCTGCTGGAAAAACCATGTTTTAAGAGATTCATAGGTCAGTAAGGTGGGGACAAATCTTACCTCAAAAACGTTCCAGAGGATAGATGCTGTGGCAGGAAAGATCATATTCTGGTCCTGTCAGATGGAACCCATAACATGTTTTTCCTGTTAGACCTCATAGGATGGGTAGATATAACCAGGAAAAGGTAGTCAGTGATCCCATACTATCTAGGGGTTTAAAGGTGGAATCCTGCATCTTGAATTGAATCTGGAAGCAAACTGGTAACCAATGCAATTCATGTTGCAGAGGTATAATTTGAGCAATCCTAGGGGCATGCATAATTGCCACCACATTTTGCACCAGTTAAGCTTCTATATACTCAAATACCTGGAAGCTTAACTGGCAAGTTCCATGTAGATCACATTACAGTAGTCCATTCAGGAGGTGACCAAGGCATAAATAAATATGAGTAGAGCATCATGATCCAATAATGGATGCAGTTGGAGCACAACACGGATCTGGACAAAGGTCTTCTAGCCACAACTGCCACATGTTCACCCAACAGCTTTATATAGATGTTAAACAGGAGTGGAAACAGTACCAACCCCTACAGGACTCCACATAATAGGGGTCAAGAGTGAGAACTCTCACACTCAATTAACACTGACTGGTATTGGTCCCATAGAAAGGAAGCGAACTAGAACATTAATACTGCCCACTCCTCCCCATACAGCTAATCTCGAAAGATACCGTGTTTGATGGTATTGAATGCCAGTGAGATATCAAGAAGAACCAGGATGGCTGGACTATTCCTATCCCGCTCATGCCAGAAATCATCCAAATGTCCAACCAATGTCATTTTCCTTCTAATGCCCAGGCTTGAATCCTGACCTAAGAGTCCAGATAATCCAATTTACCAACTGAAGACTTTGTGTGACCACCCTATTCACAACTACCAAAAGAGAGATTGGTTATTGGATGAAAATTATCCAATATGTTAGGGTGTAGCAATGACTTCTTGAGGAGGGGGCAAACTAATGCCTCCTTAAGGGGCAGAATATTTTCCTCTCTCAAGAAAGAGTTCACCAGTGCTAAAATCTAACTATGGTACATGTCATCCCCAGGCAGCCTTAGCTAAGCCAGGAAGAACATGGATTTAATGAGCAGATGGTTGAATTCACATTCAGGCCGACTCTATTCAAACTGTTCCCAGATAATAGGGAAAGACTGGTCCCTGGGCATCTCAACTGGTGTCAAGACTGGTGAATACATTTAAGCAATTTTATCCAATAGATGCTCTGAAAATTCAGCTGCATGACCTTGTATGTGAACTTCCAAATCTTTTATCTAAAAGGGTTCGGGTCACACTACATGGGGCTGCCAGGTGGTTATCTACAGACATAATAAAGAGTGGAAAAGTATTGCCATACTTGTATGGTTTTTTTTAAGTATATGGTGGGCATGCTGTGAAACAGTTGCATGAACACTTGTTGGGATCTAATTTTTAAAAAATTGTAAAATACAATACATTATTGTCAGCTGAGCTGAGTTCAAGAATCAAGGTCTAGGGTTAGGGTTAGTATTGGAATTTCAATTCCAAACATGAAACATACTGGCTTCAAACATGTTTCACATGATATGACAAATTGTTGAATTGGCATATAATTTTAATTGCCTGCACACCTCTATTTATTTGAAAATAAATGTGGGTGAACTACAAAACAGTTTTGAGTAATTGCTTTTGTAGTAAAAATAGAATCACATTAGAATTCTACAGAGTTTATGCTGTTGCCATGTGCACAATGCTAACTACCCCATGTACAAACACATATGCTCAATCGAGGAGTATGTTTAATGGGAGAAGATGGAAAAAGAATCTCTGAAATTTTACATATAAATCCAGTGTTGTATTTAATTATGTTTTTTTTTTCAAAATACATCTCTACTTTCTCTTTTTTATTCTGAATAAGAAAATATATCCAAACAGTTCTATCACAGAGGAATTTCCATAATATAAACAGTTTGTTTCCCATTATGGGCCTAAATTGTACTAGACCAGGCGAACTGGTGGCCCGCAGGCCAGATACATCATGTCAGGCTACGCCCACCCCAGCTCCGCAAAGGCAAAAACATGATACGTCATGATCTGGCCGTGACACAATCGAGTTTGACACCCATGTACTAAACTATTACAAAATATCAGCAGTGAATCACTGTTAAGGGTCCTGAACTAACCATGCTGCATTTATTATTTTTAAACAAACTCTGTCTCGAAAGAGGCCTTCAAGATTAATACTTACACCTGTTCATGGCAGGAATCCTCATATCCTCCCATATAAATAGTTGTCACGCATTCAAAAATCTAATTTATGGAGCACCTAGAACTCAGGAGGCAGACTATTCTGCTCTTGAATAGCTCTCTCAGATGGAAAATTTTCAAGTTTGGGTCTCCCTCTAAAGATTTCCATTCAACGGCTAAGTTCCTCACCATCTTTATTGTGCTTCCATGGACCACATTTTCTTTTCTATCAAAAAAAAATCAATGCTGCCAAGAACCATTGGACAAATTATAAAAAGGGAAAAAATGAGATGTGTGCTTGAAATTCATGAAAGAAAAATTTAAAAAATTGAAAGGATTCTGCTTGCTGGAGGTGACAAAGAAAGTGCAAAGAATTTGGGGAAAGAATTCCAACTAAGCCAAGTATGGATTCATAAATCTGGCATTTATTTTGAATCCATTTTTTTCATAATTTGCTTTTTAAATATTTTTTATCAGCCCCAATATCGAAGAAATAACACTAAAATATTCTTTGTTTGGATAAGTAAAAATATACTCAGGTTATACTTCATTAATTTAGGGGTAAGTAATTCACCCTCTTTCCTTGATTACAAGTAGTATGGAAAGTTATCTCCTTCAAGATTTGAAAGTGGGATAGGAATAGGAAATTTCTGAGATTTAAAACTTTCATTTTCATGCTTAAAAATACCAGATTTGAAAATCTGTTCCAAATGCCAAAATTCAACCTCAAAGTGTATAAATTATTTTAAATGGGGCATGGAAGGGTAAAAATTCAGTTTGTCTCTCGGTGGCCTCTGACTTCCGATTATATCTTCAATTGAGAAAATTGTGCTGCTGGAAATAAATCATTTGCTTGTTACCCATGAGTTGCCAGCTGTGAATTGCATTTCTAGCTTATTTCTGCCTAGATGTCCAGAGAAGGCTGAAATATCATTTCCGAAATGGATTGTACAAACAGATTCTTTTCCAAAATTAGCAGGATATTTCCAGTGCTGTATATTATTTAGGAGGAAACAGAGATAACAACATACAGGCAAAAGTACAATAATGAAGCTTTACTTGAAGATACAGAATTGATAATCCAATTTTTTGTGAATAAGCGTTATTCCATTTGAATAGCAAATAAAAATATTTTCTATTGGAATCATGAATAATATATATGAATATATAAATAAAAGTATTTACTTAATACTATTAAAAATAGAGCTGCTGTTTTAACATTAGATTCAGTGATTCAATATATACCTAACTAGCCCAAAGAAATCAATACACCATCAAAGGAAAAATCCATCTGTCCAAAACAACTGTTAGCAATTATGTCAGAAAACAGACAAATGTTGATACTGTATCTGAATACAGGTAGTATTCAGGTAGTTAATATATACAGGTAGCTCTCCTTTAGCACTGCATTTAGCGACCATTCAATCATGTAAATGATGAAAAAGTCACTTAACAACCAATTCTTGTGTTTACTATCTTTGCAGGTCTATAAATCGAAAGAAAGCTGAAACATAAGGTTTCATTTGACAGATGCTTCCTCTAACAACTGAGTTGAAGATCCCAATTGTAGTCATTAAACTAGGACTACCTGTAATTGAATAATTGTCTAAAAATTACTATAACAGTTGTAGTTTTTGATTTATAATCGTTCATTTACTGGCAGTTCGAAGTTACAATAGCACTGAAAAAGGTGACTACCAACAATCACACTTACAATCATAGCAGTATCCCCATGGCCACATGACCTAAATTTGGGCCCTTGGAGACCAGCATGCATATACAATGGTTCCAGCATCCCGGGATCATGTGATCACCATTTGCAACCTTCCCAGATAGCTTCCAACAAGCAAAGTCGATGAAGGAAGCTGGATTCCTTAACAGCTGCAGTAATTTACTTAACAATACAAACAAGAAGAAAAGGTTGTAAAATTGGGTATGACTTACTTAACCACCATCTTATTTTGCAACAGAAATGCTGGCCCCAATTATGGTTGTAAGTTGAGGACTACCTGTACTAAATTAATCTTGTTAGGAGAATGCTGTCAAGCTTTGCAATACTTAACTCCCACTCAGGCATCATCATGTTTTGTGACTAGGCAATGTATTCTTTATGTGATACCATATTCTGATACAACATGCAAGCTTATTATTTAGCCATTCATAATCACAATGATTAGGAAAAAAAAGTGGTTAAGCTGCAAAAGACATTAGACCACCCATGCCCTGTTGAGTCATAGAAGTACAGGTAGACCTCAACTTACGACTGCAATTGAGCCCAAAATTTATGTTACGTGATAAATTTGTTGAGTTATGCCCCATTTTATGATTTTTCTCACCAGTTAAGTGAATCACTGTTCTTAAATTAGTAACACAATTGTTAAGTGAATCTGGCTCTCCCGTTGACTTTGTCAGAAGGCCGCAAAAAGGGTCAAATGACCCCGGGGCACTGCAATTGTCAATGAGTCAATTGTTAAGTATCCAGTGTAAATCACATGACCATGGGGATATTACTATGGCCATTATGAAAAATGGCCACCAGTCCCTTTTTTCAGTGCTGTTGTAACTTCAAACTGTCACTAAATGAACTGTTGTAAGTTGAGGACTGTATTTCTTTACCTAAACTCACAACCATGACCTAGGGAGGACAAAGGAGGAGTGGGAACAAGAGCAACTTTTGACTTCCTGCCAGCTTCCTCATCTGTTTCCTTGTAGGAATCTGCCAGGGGGCATCAGAAATATCCCTTCCCAGCAAACAGGTTAAGTGGTTGCTGCTGGATGGGGGAGGGAATGATTGATTGCAAGACTGGCTGGAAAATACCATGGAAAATTGAAAAGGAAGATCATGTGACTGCAGTAGCAGCCAGAACTGAAGCTGTCACAACTTCCCCAAATTTCACTCTCTTGGGAATCATGGGTCCCAGATTTGGAGGCATGCTGTACTGTAAGCTTATTTAGGGTACCTTGGTTCAAAAGTTGTTTCCCTATGCTGCACTTTCACTCAAAGGTCGTGATGGGAGTTTTGGTAGCATATAGATTATAAGCATTCAGCAGTTATTTTTAGGTTAAAATCAATTTCAGGAACTTATTTCAGCATCCAACCTTTTGGTGTGTATGCTCATGACATGACATTTCTCCAGAAGCCACAGAAATCCTACAATGATCCTCTCCAGTGACTCAAATTTATAAAATATCTTGTAAACTAAGAGCCAATGTAGCGCTGCTTAAAAGTATAGGTACAGCAATGAGGAGATTCAAGTTTAAGCTTCCTCGTCAACCACTGAAATTCATTGGATGACTCTGAGTCGCACTCAACTCAGCTTTTTTTTGCTGTGCCATCAGTCAATGTTGATTCTTGGCAACTGCCTACATAGCTAGTCCCTGCAGTGTGTCCCAAGGTCACCCAGCTGGCTTCATGTCCAAGATAGAACAGTTCCCCAGTTTTTAGCCTAACATCTTAACCACACCAAACTGGCTCAAGGTACTGACTGATAAAAATTATGAAACTGAAGCCGAGAATGGATTTGCTAATTGTTTCAAATATCTAGGAATTCCTTAAGTCAGAAATAACTATTATTAGAAACAAAATGGAGTGAACTATTTTTGGTAACAATACCCAATTTAGTGCTTTTGGCTGATTTTGAAGAAATTGAAAAAAAGTACCCACAAATATTTTACAAAAGAACTTTAGGTCGTTCCCATCTCTATTTCCCAGTAATACATGTAGTCTTCAACTTATGATCACAATTGGACCCAGAATTGTACGACTTTTCTTGATACAATTGTTAAGTGAATCACTGCAGTTGGTAAGTTAGTAACAGTTAAGTAAATCTAGTTTTCCCATTGACTTTGCTTGTTAGGTCACAAAAGGTGATCACATGATCCCTGGACACTGCAACCATCATGAGTCAGTTGCCAAGCATCTGAATTTTGATTATGTGACCATGGGGATGCTGCAATTGTCATGAGTGTGAAAAACGGTCATGTCACTTTTTTCAATCATGTAACTTTGAACGGTCACTAAATGAACTGTTGTAAGTCAAGGACTAACTACCGTATATAGAAAAGTAAAAATCATCAGGCCAAACAATTAACACCAAGCTCTGAACAACTCTGCAAGACAAATTTTGTATCAAGCTTGGAACCTATATTTTCATTTTTCAAAAAAATAAACACCATTTATCTTATTCTAGTGTTGACTAAAAATGTATAATATGAATAAGTTATGCATTAATTAACCAAGGATATCACAACTATTCTTCTGGGAGGGGAAATGAATAGCTACATGGGATATTTCTAGAACTGTTGATGCTTTGTCATCATAATCATCACCTGAAGTCCAATATATGTATGTATGTATGTATACAAAATAAAGTGTTTATGTCCATACTGTATCATAAACTACCTAAATCTCCATATCACCTGCAAGAGACTGTAAGTCCAGCCACATGCTTCATCTGGACATAAGAAGCCATTAAGCACAACATATATATAAATTCCAGTATTAACATCATTATGATTGAACATTAGGCAGAAATTTTTCAACGGTCTACTGGTAAAACGAATAGTGAGCTATGACACAGTTATGATTAACAGCTAGAATTGCATATCAGAGATAGTTCCCAAACGTTCCATTTTCAACAGTTAAGACCTAGAACAGGAAAAGTGTAGTTATTCAGTTTTGTGACTGGGACCAGGTTTAAACCCTCTCTCAAAGGTCCGAGCTCCAGACCTATACCAGTATTAAGTTGCCACTCACTTGGAGGCTAACTGGCTTTATTTAGCCGGACTCTGGCACACACAGTTCTAGCAGCAGCAAAACAGCAAAAATGCAAAGTCAGCACTGCGAGTGTCCACCTCCCAGCGTGTTTTATTTAGGCAAGCCATGTCCTTCCGCCAGCACTGGCCTGGCCCAATTGTGAGCTATGCATTGGCCTGGCCAGCGGGATACCTCCCGGAGATTCCTTGACCGGAACAGCTGGTCATCGCCAGAAGCTCCGAATCCCGGCAGGCTGCTTGCCTTGCGTCATTACACCTTCCTGCTGCACAGCTGATCTTCGGCTTGCCCTCTGTTGACCAGCTGGTCCCTGGCAATCGTTGGCACACTGCCGCTGCAGCCTCTCCTGCACCCATCACCGGTGCTCCATCCCTGCAGTTTCCAGCTCTCCAACACCCCCATTCACCAGTGCTCCACCCTGCCCTAGTATGGCAAACGCTGGGCTTCAGGGCTTGACACCCTCACTTAACTATAGAGCTAACTGAATGACTTTAGACTAATCACACACTTTCTTAAGCCCATCTTACTTCACCCTGATTACTGTTCTAAGAATAAACCTAGCTGAGACCAACCTTCATGTGAGCCATCTTGGGTTCATGGGATGAAAGATGCTGCAACATACTGAAACAATAACATAAATCAAAACCCCAATGAAATGAGTCAAGGAAACCCACATTCAGGATCAGAATAAATTATACACAGAATTTGTTAATTTGTACACTATATTTCAGCAAAGATAATGACAATATCAGGACATGAGACTGGTGCTATATGGCTAGGCTAGTAAGATCGGGAAATAATGGCTCCTACAAAGTCTTAATCAAATTGGAGACCTTTGCACCCATGAAAATTTGGAATGTACCTTTAAGATAGCCAACATTTCCTGTAAATCCACGTTTGGAGTATAACTCCCACATATGAAATCAAGAATTAGAACCTTGCAGCTTATAAATGCATCCATATTTCAGCATGTTAATGAAATGATTCAAGTATACAGTGATTTTTTTCACCTTTTTATTATACACAAGATGCAAATAACAGCAACAGTTTTCTACTGAGGGGGTTGACCACGCCCACGTCCAAATCCACCTCTCTGTAAATTAAAAAGAAAACATTACAAGTTTGTTACACAATTACCTCATGAGTCAAAGAAAAAAAGTTGACAGAACTTAAAAATAACTAGGAACGTAGTAAAGTAGGGTAGTGAGTAACGTTAAAGTAGGGTAGCGATGCCATCATTCAAGCTATAGGGCATTTGGACAAAAAGATTCTTAAGTTAATACCCCAAGTAGAAAAAGTAAAGGACAGGGGCAAAATATAAGTCATATCTCAAATACTCAAAAATATTTCCTTTGAATCTCAAGTATTTCAATCATGGTACAACTTGGTCAATAGCTAGCTAAATTAAACTTACTAAAACTCCGGGTAGCCCTCATATTATGCTTGGGAAAAGAAGGCAACTAAAGAGAACCATAGCTCAAAAATAAAAAGAAGCAATATTTCATCTATTTAGTTGCCATTATTTGTATGATGAATGAAGCTCCCTAGGTGTACAACATTATTATCGCTGAAACAAGCCAAACACTCAAAACAATATTTTACACTTACTGGCAATTAATATTTGGCCCTTTCTACCTGTACAGATGATACTCTAAATTCTATTAAACCAAACAGTAACATTTTTCATACAACGAGATGTTTCCTCTAATGAATA